CACACCCCGAAATCAGAAAATTTATTGAAAAATATGCTAATGTTTAAGTGGATTTCATTTTCAATATAATGTGATTTAAGATACTCTTTAATGTTATGATATGAATTGTGATAAAATAAATAAAATTGAAGAACTGATATTTTCAAAGATTATATAAATCTAATTTTATACGTTCATTTTTAGGTATATAAACAGAAACCAATATATAATTCTGTTTAACTAGGGTGTAATATCTCTGAAGTTATGCGAAAGAACAAGTAATAATTTACAAATAACATGTTTTTTATGCATTAAAATTGAACGCTTCATTCTCTCAAAATTTTATTTTTGCATTTTTTGCCTCGTATCTTCCAAACGGCTGGACCTTTCTTTGCCAAAACTAATCAGCACATCTTTCCATCACTAACAATCAAATTCTTGTTGAATTATTCAAATTGGTTGATCCGTTCTCTCGAAAGTGTGGTCCAAAAATTGTATCCGCGCATTATTTTTTCATACACACATTATTTTTTCTAAGGAACGCCAAAATATTCGAGAAGGTTGAAACGTGAAGATATGCAAAAAAATTCATTTTAGATTTTTAATCAATGTAACCCCACGGAAGTTAAAAATATAGGAACTGCATTCAATGATACAGTTCACTACAGTGATACATCATTAAAAGTAAAAAGCATTAAAAGTAAAAAAAGCAAATTTGATATCTTTTTGAAATAGATTATTATAAATACCGTAACATTGTCTAATATTTATAAGAATTATATAAACTAATTTGCAAAGTTGAAATTATTTATTTAAAGTATATAAGTGAGCTTTAGAACTTTAGTCATAATTAAAATTAAAATCTGAATTATTTTCAATATACAAAACAAAATTGGAAAAAAAAAATTAGAAAAGTTTTTTTTCTAGAAGCAGTTATTTTACTAAAACAAGCAGAAAGTTCCTTAAATCATTCGGACACTTAGTTCTCTCAAAAACTGCCATTTTTTTATACATTTAGCTCTGTATTTTCCAAACGACTGGACCTACATTTGCCAAAAACTAATCACCTCTTCTTCCAATCGTTACAAATTGAATGTTTTTTAGATCATTCAAATCAGATACTCCGTTCTCTAAAAATCTCGATTTGTATTTTCTGCACTCTTTGCTCTGTATCTTCGTAACGAGTGAACCTGCCTTTGCCAAAAACTAATCAGCACAACTCTTTATTAATAAAAATCGAATGTTTTTTGAACCATTCAAATCGATTGATCCGTGCGCCCGAAAATATGGACGAAAAAATGCGGACATACAAAACACACACACACATTCATTTTTTCTGAGGTATGCCAAAATGTTCAAAAACCTTCAAAACGTGAAGATATGCAAAAATTTTCATTTTCAATTTTCAAGCATATCGTCAAGTTTGAATAAAAATTTAATTTTTGCACGGCTTTTCATAAGTGAAATTATTAATCTTATTAGAGTAATCGCCAATAAACATGTAGGTGTTTCTGAATAATATATAAATCATTTTAATGCACAAAATTTATTTTTAGAATTATTGTATTTTCACTATTTATGTATATAATAACCTGCAGCATTTAGAATTACGTGTAGTCGTAGAATTCCTGAACCTAGTATTATCAGAAAACTAATCCAGTGATTGCCTAATTATGGGATTAATACATATAATTCCAATTAGTTGAATGTGACATTTAGCCTTAAGGCAAGTTGCATGATGTCGATGAAAGTTCTAATTTTGATACACGCCAAAAAAATGATACTAATTTTGCAAACTGACGAATTTTTAATACTAAACGACTTGTAGGGCCGTAATATTTCAGTGTGATATGAGATTATGCTATCTACCGTCAAAAAATCATAGAAATTGTTGAAAAAAAATTTTAGCTCCTTATTGCAAGGAAACGGTCCGGCCGATCTTTACCAAAAACTTTCCCAACCAATATCTTTCGAACGATTTTTTGAATTTTCAAATTTGATTCAGAATTGCGGGCTAAAACGTGGACGACAAATTTCTCACTTTTGCTGCTATTTCAAAGAAAAGCCTCGACCGATCGTCG